AAGTAAGAGATAATCCAACCAATATTGAATAATTTAAGCATAACATTGGAGACATCTTCTATGGTGATCTTATTTAGATTTTAATGGAAAATGATCCAAATCCATTTGGACTTGGTTTTCATTGAAAAAAATAATTTTCAAATGTTCTCCTTATATGGTTTCATTGTGAGGAGCTTATTTATGTTGTCAGTTATTAGGTGGGAAATGACTTCCTTAATTAGTCCACTATCTTCGAACTAAATTTTTCTAGTAAAGTGAGAAGTGACATGATTTGAAATTTTCCTTTGATCTGTGTTTACACTATCATTGATTTTAAGAGAGAAATTTTCTTATAAGCACGCTTGATCTTGAAAGAATTGTAAAATAAATTTGTATTTCCATCTCCTTTAAAGTTCCATTTAATCCTAGTTGTTTCTTTCGAGAAGTCCTTCTTAATATAGAGAGGTTTTTATTGTGTATCTATGTGCTTGCAAGTATGGAGATAATACAATAGTTGTTGAACCAATGATCTTAATCTTATTGACGGTCTTGGTGTTTTGATGACGAAAATGCTAATGATTTTTAAAGTCTATGGTAATATCTTTCTAACTCTCTAATAATGATGATTATCTTGAAGATATATCAAGCCTCATCAACTAAAAGATTCAAGGTTCTAGTGAAGTGCCTATATGATCGGTGTATCTGGAAAATGAACTTCAAGCTTCAAAGTTGTGAAAAAGAGGAAGTGTAAAAGGTCGTTTGATCGTATATGTCTGAGTGACCAGGATCTTGTAAAAGTAGGAAAGTAACTTCTATGCTACTAACGAAATTGACACCCGCTTAAAAACTTTGAGGAGCCTCTTTTTAGTTAGTAAAATAGTCTAAAAATCTTTTTAAGGTCTAGTAAATTGATTAGGCAACTACCTAATCAATTAGGAGTTGTTTTACAATTGAAAATTTGATTAGCCCTAGTGCTATAATCTATTATTTCACTATGTAATGCTCAAAAGAGATTGGAACAAATCTCTTAATGGTTGGCAACAACTATAAATCAACACCTTCCATTTGTGGATTGAATAATTGATTATTGACTTGTAATAATTTAATATAATAATCAAAAATATCATTATTATTATATTATAAAGTTTTGTGAACCCTGAAAGTACAACTTGTGTATCATTACACACCCTAATTTTATAACTTTTGTGTCATCATAAACTCTAATGCAACGCATCCATACCATCAAAGTTGTAACGATTGGCTATTCAATTTGATTGATCAGAATGTCATTGCTTCACCACATTAAAGTCAGATTCTAAAGCAGGTGAACATTGATCGTCCAAATGAAACACAATCATCATATTAATTGAATCGATGAAATAAGAGGCATATCAAATATACCTCAGTTGCATCTGAATTATTGATATCTTATTTGAAATTGATCGATCATTTTTGTATAACTTATGGATGATCGATATATCATTGCTTCACCGTATAGAAGTTGGATTTCAAAGCATAATCAACATTGATTCATCTAAGCCGTACACAATATGATGCAAAAATTTAATTTATTATTATTATTTAATTCATTGTGTTTTAATCGAATCAATATACAAATTACGTAAATTAAACAACTCTCTGATCATGGTTTCGTAAGTGGCTCGGATATCACTTAAGGGAAAAAGCAATTCAAAACGCATGGGAAAAAAATTTCCTTTAGTCGATTCTTAAGAATGATGCATGATCAGTGATAGAACAATTACCTCTTGTGGGGATTAAAAATTTTGATGCAGATCCGGATGAATGATCACAAGCAATGATCGATGATCAACACCTCTACTCAATTCACACGAACATAGTGCCTTCAATCTTAGTGTTAGCTACTACGAATGAAGACCTTGAGTGAGAGAGAAAGAAATTATGGCTAGGGTTTTACAAGCCGAATTTCATCAAGTGAGAAAACTTATGCGTAAGGGTTCTATTTATAAAACCACTTGTGTGGGCTACAAGCTAAAAAGCCCATCTTAAGTGCACCATATAATAATAATATTATTATTATTATAGTAAAAAAAAAGCTTTTATTATTATTATATTTAATATCTATAATAATAATAATAATAATAATAATAATAATAATAATAATAATAATAATAATAATAACTATTATTATTATATTATATGGTATTTCATATTCCACTTAAGTACATTGTATCTTACGGTGTTCCATAATTCTCTCAAGTAAATCGTACCTTACAATGTTTCTTATTTATTCTCTCTCATCAATATGTCCTTAAGTCTGTGACCCTGTAGGTTCTCGTGACGTTGGCAACTATACTAAATCAGACATCTAATATAATAAACAATATTTGGTATCTAGCAACACATCACTATTACCTAAGTCACAAAAGTTTCATGTGGTATGACAAAATCTTTTTGCGATAATATTATTTTATAAAATTACCATTTTACCCTCGTATTTATATTGAACACAAGGCATATACCGTGTCACCCTTGTCCATTTCAATTTTGGACCCTTACACATTTTTATCTCGTTATGCAAGATGGACAAATTTTATCTAGGTCACTCATGTTCCTTAGCATGTTTCGTGGAGTACCCATCAATTGTTTTTATGGTCATCGAGTTACGGACAATGTTTGATCATTAATAAAGTATTCGACTCCACATCTAGGTTACATAGTGGTTTCATGTCGAATGGTGGTATACACCACTATCACTATGAGAATAACTTATGACATATAACATTCTATGTTGTATTCTTAAAACGGGTCAATTTGGTATACATATTATTCCTAATATTCTTACCTATGTTAAAACTTGATAACTCTTTATCCATGATTTATGAGATGTGATCATCATTCTATTTACATAATAGTCTCAATGCTTTAATGTTATCCCACTCCACAATAAATGTTGACTACAAATACTTTAAGAAAGGTGCACATATGTTTAATGAGATCTTATGATTCATCACACTTATCATTTCATTAAATGGACTAATTATTTTATGAACTTTACATTTTAGAAAAACAAACATAATAAAAAAAATTCTTGTTAATTATTAATAAATAATTTGATACAAGTATCAAAACTATTGGTCTCTAGGGCTTATATCAACATGTCTCTCCACATGTTTCCACTTGATTATCGAATCTTGTGATTCTTGTAGTAAATTCACAAATAATTTCATTCTCTTCCATTTGAATTAATTGCAGCTTCCTCTTGTGAGTTTGTAACCTCGTCATTTTTGCATTATCAACTCATGCATAAATTTTCTTCAGAAACTCTCAAGCTTCCTTTGAGGATGTGTAATCACCAACCTTTTTAAAGTTATCAGCATCAAGACATTGATGAATGAGATACAAAGCTTTGAAATTTCTTTCTTCTCTTCATTATGCGTAGTCCTTTGTGTAATATTGAACCTTCTACAAGTGAATTAACATTATTCTTGATCACTTCAAGAACATCTTGATAACTAAACAATATATTCATCTGTTTATACCACTTACGATAATTTTTTCGCATCGAGAACTGAGATATTTGCAAGGATACATTCATTTGAGATGGAAATCATTTTTGCATACTATGTGTTTGATCGAAGAATTAGACTCTTGAATGTTTGGGAGAAATCTCAATCAAAAGATAAAATGACAAACAAGAGAATAATAGAAAGAATGGGAGAATTAGAGAGAATTAAGGTGAAATGGTGGTTATTCATTAACAATTCATCATGGAGTATATATACAACAACAACACATATCAATGTAGCTAATCAACTAATAGAAAAATAAAAAATTTCGACCATATAACCGATTACATAAAACCAGTAATCAATTACAAACGCTACTATTTTAAAAAATACCAAAATCTAGAGGGTGGTAACCGATTACATCAAACCTATAATCGGTTATATGACATTTTATTTTGATACTTTTAATGCTAGATAGGGGTGGTAACCTGCTAAACCCCATTTATAATTGGTTAAAGTAACTTGAATTAGAAAATTTGTAGAATACACATGCCCTAAAACAATAATAATTTTAATTTTATTTGTCATTTCTTATTTCTTCTCATATGCATTTGATGACTCGTCTTTTCCCTCTATTAAAAAATACTATTTTCTCCATCCCAAAACAATTATCATATTTAGAAAAAATTTATTTTTATTTTCTAATAGTACCATCTAATTAATACTCTTAATTTATTGTTTACGAACTTTACATTAATGCTAATTTAAATACACTAATAATTAATCGAATAATGTAGTAAAATCACTATTCTCTTATTCTTTTTATTATATTTTTTTAAAGGTAATGCTAACACGTGTTCTTAGGACACATGTTAAAAAACTTTAAAATGAAAATTTTGTGTTGAAAAAATCAATTAAGAAATTAATTATCAACATTTAATTAAAACAATGCACAATTTTAAAAAAAAAAGTTTTAATATATATCTTTAAAGCACATATTAGCATTAGCCTTTCTTAAAATGTGTGAAAATGTACCTATAACAGTTATTTTAGAACGGGGAGTATATTATTTCAAAAATATTACAAATATTATGTATATTTTAAAATATTTTTGTGAATTTATAAACATTGTAAATTTCCATAAAAGCAAGTGGGGCATTGGAAGGGCCAATATAGCCACGATAATAACAATATTATAATCATTTAAGCAGTAAAATTGCATGGAACACATTGAAAACCAAAGTAAACAGAACTATGCGTTTTCCAAGAATCAAACCTCAAGGATATCAATTCCATTCAATTTTCCGGTAATTGAACTTTACTGAAAAATATAGGAACTCAATAAATATTAAGGGTGGTATTGGTCAATTAATTTAACTTCGTCAAAACTGATATCTTTTTTCTCTTAGAATTTGAAACAACAAAAATTGAAATAGATAAACTTCTTCATCTTCTCCTCTCCCATTCTATAAATTTACCTTAAATTGATACTCACACATTTCATAAAACTAGTCTTTCTATCATCCAAAAATCATGTGGCATTTACTAACTTCTTCTGTTAGACTTCTTTTAACAATTATGCAATATTTCATCCATAAAGATTTTCATGAAGCAGTGGCCAAAATGTCTATCTTTGATGCTTTTCTCTTCTTGGTATGAACTTCCTTCTTAGTATTATCTATTTAGACTCACTTATTCGAGTATATATCGATTAGTTAAAATGATTTTTGCATGGCATGTACAGATTATACACTCCATTGACAAGATGGTAGCATGGCATCGTTTTCCTGTTCTATTGGGACTGCTTTATCTGGCCATTAGGAGACATCTTCACCAAAAGTACAATCTCTTGAACGTAGGAACAACTGAAGGAATTAGGTCAAACCCTTCTGATTATCCATATAGAACACTTGATGGAAGATATAATGATCCTCTTAATGATATTGCTGGAAGTCGAGGATCTTTCTTTGGTAGAAACGTTCATCCTGTGGATCAGAAGAATAAGGTACAAATTGAAAATTATATGGTTAATTAGTTTAGATGAATACATAATTGGATAGTGTTGTTGTGCAGTTGTTGAAGCCAGATCCAATGGTTGTGGTGACAAAACTTATGGAGAGGAAAACATTCAAAGACACTGGAAAACAATTCAATGTGTTAGCAGCAGCTTGGATTCAGTTTATGATACATGATTGGATTGATCATTTGGAGGACACTCAACAGGTGTGAAAGGATTTCATATGCATTTTTTTTCTTCTTCATATTATATAGTTATTATTACGTTAGAAATAAATGTGTTTTTCGATATATAGATTGAACTCACTGCATCATCTGAAGTTGCAAACCAATGCCCTCTAAAATCTTTTAAGTTCTTAAAAACAAAGGAGATTCTCACAGGCTCCTGTGATATTAAGACTGGATGTGCCAATATACGCACACCTTGGTGGTAAGAAAAATTTTATTTTCCATATATATATATATATATATATATATATATATATATATATATATATATATATATATTGAGTTTACACATATATATATATATATATTGAGTTTACACATATATATATATATATATATATATATATATATATATATATATATATATATATATATATATATATATATATATATATATATATATATATATATATATATATATATATATATATATATATTGAGTTTACACATATATATATAACTGACATGAATTAATATGTATATAATAATATTGAAAGGGATGGAAGTGTGATATATGGAAACACTGATAAAGTTTTTAGACAAGTGAGGACTTTTGAAGATGGAAAGTTAAAAATATCAAAGGAAGGTACTCTTCTACATAATGAAGATGGAGTAGCAATATCGGGTGATGTTCGCAATAGTTGGGCTGGTGTTTCAGTTTTGCAGAGTCTTTTTATTCGAGAACACAATGCTGTTTGTGATGCTCTCAAGGTATATACATGATGTATTCATATATTTAATAAAGTGTTGTTTTTGCAACAAAGAAAAACTAATTATTGTTCTTTATTAGAAAGAATACCCAGAATTAGAAGATGAAGATCTTTACCGCTATGCTAGATTGGTGATATCGGCTGTGATTGCGAAGATTCATACCATAGATTGGACTGTCGAGCTTCTTAAAACTGACACCTTACTTGCAGGCATGCGGGGAAATTGGTAAAATCATATAAAGATTTATGTTTTGATAATTATTTCATATAGTAGATGCAACGATATATAGCTTAAATATAATAATTTTGATGATTATTTCAGTAGATTTTGTCATGATAATGTAAACGATATTTGATTTTAGGTATGGATTATTGGGAAAGTCATTCAAGGATAAATTTGGCCACGTTGGAAACTACTTCTTGAGTGGAATGGCTGGAATGAAAAAATCAAAAAACCATGGTGTTCCTTACTCTTTCACTGAAGAATTTGTTGCTGTCTACAGAATGCATGCACTCCTACCTAATTCTCTGCAACTGAGAGACATATCTGCCACTCCTGGACATAACAAATCTCCTCCATTAACCAAAGAGTATGACAAAGTGTTTTTTCAGCATCATAATTTAGTATAGCGTCACAAATTTTGTGTTGGTGTCAATAAAAAAAAATCTTGTAACTCTGGAAGTCTTTTAAAAATTCTCTTTTGATATTATTTAGGATTCATATGAATGATCTCATTGGACTACCAGGAGAAAAGACTTTATCAGAGATAGGAATTGCAAGAACATTAGTATCAATGGGTCACCAGGCTTCCGGAGCCTTAGAGCTTTGGAACTATCCATCATGGCTTAGAGACCTAATACCACATAACATGGATGGAACGGAAAGATCAGATCATGTGGACTTAGCTGCTCTTGAAAGTAGGGCATATTGTCATTTCTTCATTTATCAATAAATGACTTTTAACTAACCATATATTTTGATATGATAAATGATACAGTTTACAGGGATAGAGAGAGGCGAGTAGCCAGATATAACCAATTCAGGAGAGCATTGTTGTTAATACCTATTTCAAAATGGGAAGATTTGACGGATGATAAGGAAGTAATTGAAGCATTGGAAGAGGTATATGGAACTGATGTTGAGGAGCTAGATACACAAGTAGGTCTCATGGCAGAGAAAAAGATAAAGGGTTTTGCAATTAGTGAGACGGCTTTTATAATATTTCTTATCATGGCAACTAGGTAAAAACAGCTTCTTCATTTTTTATTTTTTTTATGTTTACACCTTTATAATATAGAGATTAGAGATATTTAATTTCTATACACCACACAATTAAGAAAACTTTAAAACATATCTAACCATATTTTATTATATTATTTTATATGCAAAAAATTTAAACATATCTACTCATATTTCATTATGTTTATATTTTAAGTGATACACCCTCCCTCTTATATTTTAAAAGACGTTTAAGTCATTTATTTTTATTGACTCAAATATCTTTTATAAAAGTGAACGGAAAGAGTATTACATTAATACACTGAGAATGATTAAGGTTTTGTATAAAATCTATTAATTATCAATTCATAGTTATTAAACAAAAATCTGAAACAATGATTAAAGTCCAATTTTTATATAGGTTGTCAAAGAATACATTGGACTTTAAAGTACAATATGTTTTACTTGAGATTTATTGAATTTGTTTAGTGATTTGACTTTCATGATATTTGAAGGAGGATAGAAGGCGATCGGTTTTTCACAAGCAACTACAATGAGGAGACCTACACTAGAAGGGGATTGGAATGGGTTAACACAACGGAAAGTTTGAAAGATGTTATTGATCGTCATTATCCTGAAATGACAAACAAATGGTTGAACGCTTCAAGTGCTTTTTCTGTTTGGGACGCGCCTCCAAACAAACATAATCCTATTCCACTTTTCATTCGTGTCCCTAATTAATCAATAATACCATGCAATATGAATTAGATTATTAACACACTCTTTTCAATATCTACATCGCTGAAAAGTGTGTTAGAGAGTTGCTGCTAGTTCTTTGCTGTGTTTTTGTTTACTCAAAACTATATTATTGTAATGAATAAAGCTAAGACTAGAAATATTGAAATGTGTGTGGCAACTCATCTAGAAGAAAATAATGGATAGCGGGAATATGATGACCAAGTTTCAGAAGAACCAGATAACCATGTTTCTAAAAGAACCAATAATTAGAGGTTGTTAATGAGTGTTTCTCCATTCTTTTCCTCTCTACAAGTGTCTGCCTTATTTTCATCCGAATGATAAGTGGTTATCCCTTTTACTACTATAGTAATTTGTATTTCCAAGAAATGGGTATGATGAAAATTTAAGCAAGCTCTAACAAAATCAGAGAATTTGATACAGTTTCTGATACAAGAGGATTTTATACAGTGCTCTATATTTCTGATACAAGAGGATTTTATACAGTGCTCTCTATATTTCTGTATCTTAGAGTCAAAATGAGTAACAAAAAAGTAATTGTATAACAGTAATAACTAACTTCAACCCTCCTGGATTCAGTTAATACCAATCAAAAAGGGGAAAATATTACATTGCGAACAAAAATTGAGGCAGAAAAATTGCAACATTTATGCATGTGTCACGTCAACACATATAAGCAATGAGTTAGTGATTTACAATGGCTGAAAATGTCAGTATACAGTATGAAATATGAAATATAAGTCACTGGTGTTCTTACTACCAGAGGATGATATCTCACATCACAATCTTGGTCAAAAGATGGAAAATTAGATTTGACACAATGGACTAAAATGTGTTGCTACCACTTCTCATAAACATATTCAGGCAAGTAATTTGTTCCCTTGACCTATTTTGCAGTCTTACTTCCCCAACGAATCAAGAACAAAAACCAAACTTTTGAGTTATATAATATGGCCCTACAATGTCCAAGTGATTAGAAGCACTGGTAATTGAAGCAAAAGTACAAAATTTGATCCTCCAAGAGCATCACCTAATTGTAAACAATTAACATGCACTTAATATTTTCACTATAATCTAGCTAAGCTAGGTACATCACCAAAGAAGCTATGTAAAATTCAAATATCCCTATAAATCACTTGTAGGCTTGTAGCTGAGGGATATTAATACTGATAGATATAGAGATACCATCCCCCAATAACTAACTGATTAAAATGAAGGTGGCCTAGATTTCCCAATCTTAAAAGGGCTGAATCTAAGTATTCATCTACAGAAAGTTTGATGAAACTATATATGCTACTATATTTCAATAAACACATAGACACACTGATGAAACTCTATATGCTACTATATGTCAATAAACATATAGGCACACTTTGGATTCAGGGTCTGTTATCAAACCTAAAACCCCCATAATACAACAATTCGAAAAGTATAAAGAAAAATAAATGCATAAACTTTTTCATCGAACTTTCAAAATACAAGGTGAAGTAGTAATCATGTTTCACATTATAATATTTCACAGAAATTCAAATGCAGTACTATTTTGAATTGATTAGGAAATGTCGAATAAACAAAAGAACAACAAAAGCTACTGACAATGCTATTTGTTTCATGTGACACAACCATTTTCTTCTCTTTGTTAAACATCATTTGCAAATCAACATCCATTACCATGTATTCTAATATCTTACAAACAAGGCACAAAATTGACATGCATAAGCACTAATCCTGTTATATAGATACTTTTAAATTGCATTACATCACAGAAGTGTCAAATACCTAAAAGAAACTCACATCACTGATATCTAAGCTAGGATCACAGCACGATACCGTGAATCAAACAAAACACTATGAATTAGAATTAACATAACTGAATGTTTATAGCAGGAGATAGATACTTGAAAACAACAGGAATGCAGCCTCACATCAATGGCAACAAAGGAACAATAATCAAAATAACAATAGCTATCACATTTAGAAACAGTTTGAATAGAAAGCTTAAAAAACACTTACATAAAAGACTTTAAAAAAACGAACAGAATCTTGCAATATCTATGAAATTTTTAAACACGGCTTCATCTCATATAACTTAAGATTAGCTTCATATTTCAATGAATACATTGGCATAAGCAAATAAGCATAAACTTATTTCAATCGAGAATCTTTCATAACACAAAAGCTAATCCAAACTATGCCTTAATATTGAATAATTTCCAAACTTCTCAGAAAGCAACAACGTGGTAAGACTAACTCCAATAGTAATTTAGAACCAAAGTTTTAAATCACAGTAGTGATCACTCTTAAAGAAATAGAAACTAGCAGAAAAATACAGTCACAATTGCAGTTATAAACTACAATTAAAAACATTTGACTTGAACCATTTTCCATTAAGAGATGTTGAATTAATTGTAAAAGAGCAATACAAGACATAATCTCCTCACAACATTAGCTTACAATCTATATAGCAGCGACACTTCAAATTGAGGACTTATCTGGTGTCAACCATGTTGGTCACCAGACACAATTGATTACATTCAATCAATCATTGTTGTCAATTGCATATAGTGTGTTTGGGATACTACAAAAGTCACGGTGGCAACTCACAATTAGCCAACTCTCCAATTTGCAGCTAGAAGATTTTTATTCGTGCAGTGGCAGCGAAGTGCCGCCGAACCAAACATGATTGTGAAAAAAATAGCGTTTGTTCAAAATTCGTTATGCTAAATGCTACCGCATCATTATAGCTACTACTAGACAACACTTCTAGAATACTAGAGATTTGTTCAAATTCCGCTACACTACAATACAACCCTATTTGACAACTTAAATTATTACCATAATCTATGTGTCTTTGTAATGTTTGGTATCTATGTTTCATAGCTTATAATCCAACTTTCCAAAACTAATCATAATTCATAAAACAATCCCTCCAAAAAAAAAGTTCCAATCTAAGAATAACTCAAATAACATCATCATCAACAACAACAACAACAACAAAATTTCTTAAATTAGCACCGTGTCAATGTTGGCATCGTGTCAGATGTATGAGCTTCACAATTTCTAATCTAACCTCCAATTTTCTAAAACTAATCAACACAATTGATGAACAGTTCCTCCAAAATCAGTTACAATTCAAGAATTACTTAGTTATCATCATCAACAACAACAAAAATATCTTATTACAACAAACTAACATACAGACAAAATTAAGCTACTAAAAGATTCAAATAAAAAAAATAAAACTCAATTCTCTATAATATTACTGTTGTTACCAAGCACAAAGGAGAAAATCTCACGAACCGGAGAGAATTGCACGAGCGCAACATCAACAGCATATCCTTGAACCGGCAATTTAAGGTCTCTAAGAAGCGAAAAAGCTTCCGCCATTCTCTGCTTCGGAACACGCTTCGCAACTGAGCAATGAGGAATCCAATTCCCTACCAAAAACTCCTCAGAAACCTCAATCCCTTCCTTGACAACCGCATCCACCAGATGAGAATGAAAGTTGAGGAGAGAGATAGAAGGAGTAGGTGAGAGAAAGAGAACGTTGTTATCGTTGGAAAAAGAAGAGATCGAAGAGAAAGAGAGAGAAAACGGATCGAATTTGGAAGTTAGGGATTTGAGAAGTGACTCGAGTTTGGAAGGTTCTAGAAGGAAAGGAGTTGAGAAGAGTGTGATGTGTGGCCGTGATCCGATTTCGATTAACTCGGTGCTGATTTGGCGTCGGGCGAGAACGTTCCAGGCTTTCAGAACTTGGTTTTCGAGTGCGGGATCCATGTAGAGCTCGATCGCGTAACCTTCTGAAGATGAAGACATTGGAATCGGAAAATTTTGGAAAGGGAAAGAAGAAAGAGTTTTTGTGGCTATTTTGTTTCTGGTTGTGTAAAATCTCTACTCAATGGTGTAGTGGCGGAAGAAAATAAAAGTAAAAATTGTAATAGTATTTTATTTAAGTTATTGACTAATAAATACATCTTGTTTATACATTAATACATACATAAATATAAGTAATGTTGCTAAGATCAAAGATCAACTATCAACTACTAAATGTTAACAACGAGGGATGACAAACAAATCCAGACTCAGTTGCATCCGTCCGAGCCCGTCCTGAAATTAACGGGAAAAATTCAATTTAATTAGATGTGGATGCAGACGAAACCTAATTCTTAACTACGGATGCGAATGCGGGTGTAGGGAGATACTAAGACCCGTTCGCGAATTTTTTTTTATAATAACCATATATTGAATATAAATTACCATAATAATCATGAATTCAAAAAAAATTTCAAAATGGCCAACATTTCAAAGCAGGTCGCCATTTCAAATGGCGAATGAGAGCAAAATTATTATGGAGAAAGGGAATTCGCCAGATGAAATGGCGAATGAGGCCAATTGAGAAACCCTTCGCCAACCAGAATGACGAATGAGGTCAGGGTTTAGGGTTTCGCTTTTCAGCATTTTTTGTTTTATATTTTGATTATTTTTTTAATTTCATTTAATATTTTAAATAAATAAAAACGAATTTTTTTATATTTTTAATTATTATTAACTTTTTAAATATAAATATTATTAATAAATTTTAAAAAAATTAGATTTAAATGTTTAAATTAATTTTTGAATTAATAAATTTAAAATAATGTGGTTTAATGTTAAAATTTATTTTTTAATTAAAAACTTACAATAATTAGGTTTAAATAAAAATAATTTCAAATTAATTTAATAAATTTATGTTTAATAAACAAAAAACTTAAACTGGTTTAAATACAAAATAAAAATATAGTGTTGAGCAAATTTTGGTGTATAAATGTTGTAAGGTTATTTAAGTCATATCATATAGGGTACGTACTGTTTTTTTAACTATAAATACGACCGCAAACACATGTATGTTTTCACAACATTATATCCCAAAAGACTAAAGTGTTAGTGCAGTTCGAGTTGAGTGGAGTCTAGAATGTCTGCATTTCTAAATCAACGTTCTTCGTCGTCGTCATCAGCATCGGAGGAACCTTTTCCAACGTTCGATCTAATGAAAAGAAATGCCCTAGTTGTGTTTTCACCAACAAAGCCTCCGATGAAGGTGCTCCTCTGGAATACACAGACGTTGGAGCACTTGCACAGGGAACTGAACCGTTGGCTAGAAGGAGACATTGGTCTAGAAGAAAAGATTAGGAAAATCGAGAGGCTGGTCGAGGAGACCGGGAGAAACGGAGTTACTCGTGAATGGAGAAAAGTGGAAAATGATGCTGGTGTCTTTGTGATGATGTTGACACCCAAGAAGATAATGTTGATGGTCTTGATATCGTAGACACTTTGGTGCAGTGTTCTGTTTTAGGCATTTACGTTGTTGTTATGTTTGTTTAATTTATGTTGCCTTCGCGCAGTGTTCTGTTGTCATGTTGTTGTTGTGTCAGTTAACTATGGTTTTAATTGATTGAAACCTGGTATTATTCGAATGAAGTTTGCTATTAATCTTATAAAAGTTGCTATTAATCGAATGGAATTTGATATTGATTTAACGGGACAAGATTAAATATGAAACTATGATCTGCTGCTTGATCCTACGTTAGGACATTTTGTTCGATTGTGTCCTGGTTGCCGACACGAACTACACAATCTCACCAGCTTGTCTGCGGTATCCATCTCAGTTCGAATGCGCGTGCTGTTAGGCCGACCCTTCTTCTGTTTGCGCATCAAGTCATTATGCCAAACAATTTCGCCTTCGTATTCAGGCCAATAGTCCTCCTTTGCCACGACTTGAAAGCTGCATGTGTAGACATTGCATAGACTAATGACTTGGTGAACTACAGAAAGAAGGTTGGTTGGGTCCTGGTGCAACTTGGAACATGCTGCTATGACATGAGAGCACGACATACAAAATGCTTGAAACTTTCCACAATCACACCAGCTCTTATCCAATTCAACACGGTAACATCCCTTAGGCCTTCCTTCGTTGTGATCCATAGACTCGGCAAAACTGAACCAATCAGTTGTACGGTCAAAGATTGTGACCACGTGTGTGTTGGCTTTGGCAACTTCCTCTTTCATGAATTTCATTGAAGTATCGCTATACAGCTGGCCCGATTGTAATACCGAACCCCCACTTCGTACGTCTGCTATCAAAGAGTGATCCTAGCCTAAAATAGGTTGCCTTTACCAAGGCAGTTATTGGGAGGTTTCGGATTCCCTTGAAAACAGAATTCATTGACTCGACGAGGTTAGTTGTCATGTGGCCCCATCGCACCCCATTGTCGTATGCCCGCGTCTATTTCTCCCTATCAATGTTGTCAATCCATCTTAATGTGTCCGCGTTGTTCAGTCTGATCTCGTCCCGGTAGTATCTGAATGTGGGTTCAATTAGTGCACATCCCGCGTTCACAACCTTCTTTCGCAGCGTCCTGTCCTTGATTTCCCGCATGAAATTTTGGGCAATATGCCTTATGCAATAGACGTGGGTCGAGGAAGGATCCTGCCAACCGTTGTCATGGTTGTTGTATGCACTCTCGATGGATGGGTGTCGATCGGAGATCAAACATAAGTTAGGTTGTGGAGACACGTAAGAGTGGAGGTTTTTTAAGAAAAAACTCCAACCCCCAGCAGTCTCCCCTTCTACTATGGTGAAGACTATTGGAAAAATGTTGTTGTTCCCGTCCTGTGCCACAGCCATGAGAAGTGTGCCCTTATATTTCCCGTATAACCATGTTCTGTCAATTTGAATTATAGGTTTACAAAATGCAAACCCTTTGATGCATGGTTCGAATGCCCAAAAGACTCTGTGGAAAATTCAATTTCCACCAACACAAGTCCCGTCTGGTGTACAAGCAGGCATCGTCTCCAATATCGCAACAGTTCCTGAAGAGTAGTGTTTAAGGGCCACCAGGAATTTAGGAAGTTCCTTGTACGACTCCTCCCAATTTCTAAACACCCTTTCAACCGCTTTAGTCCTGGCAATCCAGGCTTTTCAGTACGAAGGAGTGTAGTTGTACCTTTGTACCATATGTGCAATTATGGTACTTGTCGCTACTGCGAAAATCGGCGCCGGTTGACAGAAGAGTCGCCACCGTGCGTTATTTATCCCAACAGAGGGAAAGGAAACGCTCAGAGTAAACCTCGCAAAAAACGGGGAAAGGTATGGTCATTGCAACCAAAACCTGGGTTCGGGAGTCGGTTACGCAAGGGGAAGGTATTAGCACCCCTCACGTCCGTCGTACTCGACGAGATCCACGCTTGCTTGGGTTGTCTAAAGGATGCAAAAACAATCTATCTACGGCTGCTAAATCTAAACGGAAGGGAATTGACTCGATAGAGCGTCGCACTCTACGCCTACGTATTCTCAAGAGAGAAAGTCAGAGTCAACGTAGTTCGGGACTACAGGGAAATTGGCTCGCCAAGACTTCGCGTCTTGTGCCTACGTACTTCCACACTGCATGGAAGATCAGAGCTTTACGTAGTTCAGGCTAACTATGGCTAAACAGGATATTCTCACACAGCAGTGAGAAAATCAACTGGTCTCAAAGGTCGGGAACCTATGGGAAAAACTATGGTTTGATCTCAAATGCACTTGGGCAAGAGAAAAAAGGGGTGACAATTAGTCGTCAGCGGGAAAGTCTCGATCGCACAGCAGCGAGAGAACAAAAGTTAGTTGTTAGTGTGCTCGCTAGGATATCGCATCCTATGCCTACATATTCTCGTCTGGTACGAGAAATCAGAGCAGCTGTAGTTCGGCTACTTCGGGACCACAGCTCAAATCTCGTTTTATTAACATTCTGAAAAATGATTACAATGATCGAATACTGAAAATAAATCTCCTAGGAAATACTATCCTATCCTATCCTGAAAAATCGAATGGAAAATAACCCCCTAACAAGTGGGCTTCTAAACTATCCTAAAATGGTGAAAGAATTCCTATGAAAAAGATGCACTCTAAAAAATATTAAGTCTACTTTAATATTTTTTCTCTTTTTTCTTTCCTTATTTTCAACTAAAATATTTTCATATATTTCCCATATTTTTTTTATGTTTTTTCTCTCCCTTTTCCTTTACTATTTTTTCAATATCTTTTCTTTTGATATTTTTTTCAATATTTTTTTATTCTTTCTCCCCATATTTTTTCTTCATTATTTCCAAACATTCTTTTTTTCTTTAATATTCTCTTTTTTTCATAATATTTTTCCATTCTAAAAACTAAACAAGAAAATAAAAAAATAAGGAAAAGAGAACAAGGGGGGTACATCAGCTATTACAGGGGTAATTAAGCAGAAAAATAAATGAACTGGGCCCAGCCCATTAACTGGCCTCAGCAAGAAAAACGTGGGAGGGGCTGTAGCTCCAACACGGAGGTACATGCTGAAGAATCCAATGGGCTTGAGGCCCAATCCCTCAGTAAGCAAAACGGGGGTGTGAAGGAAAAACGCATGTATTGTCAGGAAAAATCCAATTGGGCCTGAGGCCCAATCCCCAACCCAACTCACGAACCCTTCCTCTCCTCTGAACCTGAAACCCTAATTCTACCTTCCTTTCTCCCTTCACAGCGCCGCCGCCGTCCACCTCCATCCTCCCCATCTCCGAGACCTCCTTCTCTCCAATCTATCTCCATCTCTCTTTCTCAAACTGTCATCCTCGCTTCCCAACTTCATCCACCCAAACACCCCTAACGATCTGGAAGAATCTTGAATGGAAGTCGTGTTCGTATCTGAAGACTTCTGGAGCCATATGATTCTTGCATGTGAATCTTGAAGGTTATTTGCTGAAGACGAGCGTTTGGATTTTTCTGAAGCCCAAAGCGTGGATTGCGTGTTCTTCTTGAAGTCTTTTGGAGA